TAAGACTTTATAGAAAAGCAGCTTCGCGTGTGTCGAACTCTTCGCTGAGAAACAAACGTTTCTCGTCTTTACCTGTTTCCCGTCTTTACCTGTTAGTTGAGAAGTTGAGGTAGTGGAAAGCCGACCAAATGCTCGTCGAAGTAACATTGTTTTAGACCAGAATTGACGCTATACCTAACGAAGTTAATGTGACAGACACGATCGGATCATGGAGACTTGGAGAAAGACTGGAAACTAACGGTAGATCGAGCATCTTGATCGAGCTACCGTGATCGCGAGAGCTGTTGTTGGGGTTTCCTTCGTCTAGACTTCCGGCCCGTTTCTCGAAAATTTTGGCCTGCATAAAAGATGATCAGAACGTTTTCCCCTAGTAAACAAACGCACCATCAGATTCGCATGCTCGCTAGTATATTTCTACCTCACCTCTACTAATTAACCTATCCCGGCTATGCGACCTCGATCGATCCTGACCGGAAGGTCGAAACTGCTTCCCCAAAAAGTCTAGGCTTGAGAGTTCTAATTTTGCTTGCTTCCTGCTTCGGAAAACTAGGAAGTGAAATATGACGATTGCAAAGGCAAGAGCGGGATTTCGATGTTTCTATTTTATGATATTTTATTAAACGTAGCAATGTAGGTATATTTTGGTCCAGTTGCTATGAGCTGGAGGGGACTATTTATACTGGTACTGTATTTATAATTTTTTTTTGAAGAGGGCCTCTGCCTAGATCAAGGTATGGTGTATAAAATTATCAAAAAGGATCTTGCGTATGTCCCAAAAATGTGGGACTGAACTTACGTTAATGTAACTTATTTAATTAGCAGATTTTGTTGGGATGCCAAAGAACTTGATTAGCCAACTTATCCCAAGTTCTTCCAGGTAAACAAAATTAACAGTAATATTCGGATATTCAGTGATTTAAAAATCACAATGCAGGCAAGTTTAAACTCGTTCAAATTCGAAGAATCGGGGATTATGACATCACATTTGAACGTAATAAGAATTGAAGAGCAGTCCGCGTATCTGGGCAAGTTTGAACTTGTATGATTTTCATTGCTGTACAGTGCGCGTGATGATTGGTTGTTATCGGAAGTTCAATATTTATGTCTTGTTAGATCTGAGTCGTGATTGGTCCGTTTCAAACAGACAAATTCATCAACAGCTGCGTATTCAGGCAAAATATGAAATATTCATGAGAGCGGGCAAATTACAAATTACACGCCAGAGTTTTGGATGTTATAAGCGGTGTGAACCTTGGCTGTACGTTCAAAATGTCCAAGAGGACGAAAAGCAGGAAGATCATTGTTCGGGTAAATGGCCAAGCAAACCAGGGAGGAAGAAAAGAAATGGAAGATTTTAAACGCGTCGTATTCGATCGAGATCCGGAGCAAGCATTTTTCGCGGTCTTTGATGGCCACGGTGGAAGAGACGCGGCCATTTTTGCCCGGGAACATTTATGGGACATAATAAAGCAGCAGAAAGGCTTCTACTCGAATGATACAGCCCGAGTCACTAAAGCCATCAAGGATGGATTTATGGCGACACACTGCGCAATGTGGAAGCAGATCGGTAAGTAATGGTGGCCTTCATTTTCGATTTATTTTTTTCGCTTTTCTGAAGCGTGTGGTACGAAACAAACTGCGCCGATCGGTTCTGCGCACGACATTTGAAGAATCGGTCGTATTTCTCTGCCGATCGCCTCGTAAAATCGAAAATAAGTTTTCAGTTTGTATTTATCCCGCCAAAACTTTGTGTTCGGTATTCGTGACGTTCCAAGTGACTCGGTAATTTTATCCCCCTTGTCCCTCCGCTATTCATATGCAAAATACACATGCTTCTAAATAACAGTCAAAGCTGTAAAGGAAAAGCAATTTTGCATATTAGAGAAAGCCTACAATAGTCTCTTAGAAGAATGCGTTTCTTTTAAGTACGAATATTTAGAGGCATGTTCTGTCGCTTATGCAGTCTCCACTAACGAGCCTTATTTACTCGCTAAGCTATACAATGAAAATATTCTGTTTGACTTAGAACGAGTATAATTGATTGTTGCGTCACTACTTGGCTTGATATTGATTTTGCATAATTTAAGATGAGACTGTGAAAGTTCCTCTGCTTTGTTACTTCGATGCGGAAATTTTTTTTTTTTTGAAAACCGACATAAATTTACTGCGGTTTTCCATCTGTGACCGGAAGCGAGGGATAACCTGTGCCTCTGCTTCGTAGTCCCACAGGTTAGCGACACCTGTCCATCAAAGACGATTTCTATGCCAACATGTTCTGGTTTGTTTTCTAATGAAGACGCGTAGCGAACGATCAAGAACATTGGGAAGGAAATTTAAATATCTATTTAGCGTTTGCTTTCCTTCCCTTTGACACAGCTCCACAACGGCTTCTCTGTGTCACTCAATTCCGCATCTAGTTTCTTGAGCCCCCTACTGACTCTAGCCCGCGCCCTCGCACTGGCGCTTGCTTCGCTCGTTATTGTGTTAGTGCTTCATGCCTTCTGCGATAATTTTTTTTTTTCGAAAGAGGAGAGACTGCTAACACACTAAAACGTATACACTGTATTTCAAGGCTAAGCCCACAGTAAGCCCGTAGCTTTTCCTCGGGATCTCCCGGGGTGGCGAGAAAGACCCCTTATGGAGATTGTCGGGCAAGTGATGGAAGTAAGAGACATTCGTCTGGCTGATAGTGCAAATATTGCGACTGACAAAATTTAAGCTCCAAGTCTCTGTGTGAAAGAATCTTTACTCTTAAACCATTTTTATGTAACTTTGGTTATTCAACACTTGACATTAACCATGGTCAATAAAAAATTATAAAAGCTGCAAAACGGTTTAACCAGGATATAACCCCGGGGATATAACATTTTCTTCATCGCAGTGTATTAAATATCGCTTTCAACACTACCGTTTGTGAAAATGAGGGCTGACAGCCCTCTGTTATCACTTGCACGCAAGATTGCCTGATGTTCTGTTTGCGTTGATCAAACCATGATAACTATCAGGGGACCGGCGGAGTGGGGAGGGGTCCAAGAAGGAGTTCCATGTTACCCCCTTTTTTCTTAGTTTGTTCGTTTGTCAAGTTCCTTTGCAACTTTAATTGGACGCAAGAACAAGCCAAGAATTAAACAAAAACACAATGGCTGCCACCCGTGGCTCCATTGAACTAAATACCCAAACATCCAAACACTTGACAATGTCGCAAAAACAATGAAAAATCTTCTTAAAAGCTTTACATAATCCGTAGACAAGCCCGTTACCCGATACATTAGAAACGCTGGTAAATATCTTTTAATTTCCCACCGCGTTACAAACGTTAAGCCTCTTGGCATGCCTAGACCTGCAGAAAAGATCGATGTCAGTAAGTTAAGTTACCTTGATCCTAACCTACGACAGGGCTTTATTTTCGCATCCCTTTGGTTAAACTCATCGAAGCTTTTCGGCTTCTATTCAAAATGGCAAACCATTTGCCCCTGAACGACGTTCACGCCTGGCACGCATGTGCAAACATGTAAAAGGATGATCACTTAGTACTGTCGGAGTCTGAATTTTATCGCTATTCGTGGGGAGGGGCTCGCCGTTTGAGGGTAGTGGCGGTCTACTTTAAGATAGTTCGGAGAATACTTTTAAAGCGATTGTTTTGAACTAATTCATCTACAGATTCCTGGCCTCGTACAAGACACGGACTGCCAAGTACATCCGGGACTACAGCAACCGTTGTGATCCTCAAGGGTAGAACGCTGTACATAGCTCATGTGGGCGATTCACGCGCAGCACTTGGGCGATTGAATAAGGAGAAAAAACTTCAAGCTGTGGCTCTCACCGCCGATCATAAACCCGACGTTCCATCGGAAAAGACTCGAATTGAGTCCCTTGGTGGAAAGGTCCTCTCTCGGAATGGTGTACCGCGGGTAGCATGGGAAAGGCCCGTCCATCATGGTCACAAGGGGCCTGTCAGAAGAAGTACCCAGACAGAATCAGTTCCCTTCTTGGCCATTTCAAGAGCACTTGGCAAGTAACAACATTCACCTTTGATTATTTTCTATGTTAGAATGGTTTTTATAGAGCTTTAGTTCATTTTTCCTATTTCATCTGATGAACAGCGTTGGCTTTATGCTCGTGGTCAATTGTGGAAATGTGACCAAAAAAACCGCCTTTTCCCCATACATCATTTCCTTGTGTTAAAGCCGCTTTCCGGGTCAAATATAATGCACCCAAAAGAGAATGACGCCGGCTGCACCTTCAAGCGAATCAAAAGGAGAACAAGTGAATCCAGATGCCCGCTTGATTTTACAAAGTTTCTTTAAGTGTAGCATCAAAGACTCGGTTTCCACTGAATTTGGCGAAGTTGACTTTCCCAAACGCTTGAAAAAACGGCGAAACATATTAGACGAACACGGAGGATATTACTGACTGTCTTATCTGTAGAATGTACAGAAAAATCGCAGGTCTTTAGTGCCTAGCAAATTTCCTATGGAGAGTATCGCTCGGATCAAATCTATCTTTTATCTATGACTTGAAATCTTGGATGCTGTCTTGGCTATTGAGACACCTAAGGTCGCTGTTATGCTGCAAAATAAGGAAGTTTTATTTCTAAGGGCCTCTTCATATGAGCCCGGTCAACCGGGCTGGCTCGGTTTCCGAGATCTCGCCTTGCCACTCTTTCCTTCGTAAGAATGTGGATGGGTTCATATGAGAAGCAGGGCTGGCCCGGTTGCCGAGATCTCGGTTTTTGCGACCGATATCTCGGTAACCGGGATGAAACTTTCCCATATGAACACTCCAGCGCGGGTAACCGGGACGAAACTTTTTACACAAAATAGCTTCGCTTTCGCAACATAGCGGCCAAAATGGCATAATTTTTGTCTTGTATGTATTTCCACATTAGGAGTATACGAATTAGCTTTGTTAGTAAAGTTACAAGAGTTCACAAAGCTACGACAGCAGCGAACGATACAAGTTTATGTTCCACCATTTTGGTTGTGTTTCTTGGATTTCATCCCGGTAGGCCGGGCTGGAATTTCCCATATGAACAGATAACAAAATTCGTCCCGGTAACCAAGCCAGCCCGGCTACCGGGCTCATATGAAGAGGCCCTAAGAAACTTACGCCCATGTGTCATTTGATCATTTCCTTGTGTAGGAGATCTGTGGAGTTTCGACTATTATAGAAGTGAATTCATAGTCTCCCCAGTGCCCGACGTGCGAGTGTACAAGATAAGCCCTGGTATGGACAAGTTTCTGGTCATTGCATCGGATGGCCTGTGGGGGATGATGAGAGTCGAGGAGGTGGTTAAATTTGTGCACAATTTCAACAAAGACGACCATTTAAAAGGAGGAGACGTGTCACACAGGTAAGAATCATACTCGACTTGTTTCGCCTGTGAGTCGCTTTTGAAATAAAGCTCAGCTCATAGTCAATAGAGGGAAATGCTTAGGAAACCTGGCAAAGTTCTCTGTTGTCTGTTTTTGTTTGCTATTTTGTCGTTTCACCCTGCACAAAACCTGGCAAAATACAAAAGGTGGTTACGTGTTTTTTGTTGGTAAGGAAAAAAATGCACCAGTCACTCGGAATCTCGAATCTTGTACCTCGACAAGAGTGCTATATGAGGGTAGTGAAATTTTGTTACGTGCATGTATATGTAACAATGAAAATAAAATATCAAAGTACAGATATCTAAGGTTTTGCGATTATTTGCTCAACTACCGTAAATGTCCTGCACTAGTTGCTGATGATTTTAAATTTCCTCAACAGGTTGATTCAGCGCGCGTTGTCAAGATGGCGAGAAAGGGAGCTTCGAGCGGATAACACAAGTGTCATAGTGGTGCACTTTGAGGAGGCTGAACAGGGAGCACCAGCTAATAAAATACCCAGACTAGACACTCCTGAGAGCGAAGAATCAGAGACTGAAACAAAAGAATCTACAGACTCTTCTCAAGACAGCGACAAAACACCGAACCAAGACTCCACGTTATCTAGTGAAAAACCAACCCTGGTTAGGAAGCTGGCGTTTCGCTGTTCTAACCCAATGCAACTGACTTCCTGCGTGAATCTCAATACGAGCAAGTCGTCACCTGAACTACCATCAGCGTTTAATTCACTCCGTAACGAACATTCTTCGGCGGTGGTGTCGAATTGTCTCTCGTGAATGCTGTATGGAAAGTCGCGTGAAGAAAAAATCACCGCGGAGAGTCACTTCCCCGCAGCAATCGAATCCTCTGAAAATCTATTTTTAGATTCTCGGGTGTAGTCACGTGCATACACGGCCTGATATGATTGCTTTCGCTGAAAATATAATAGATTTTGAATTATTGCCAACGGTCAAATTTGTTTTCAAAATTTCTTCTGGGTCGTAAATGTTTTAAATGGCAAAAATGAATTTTTTTAATTGTATATAGTGTACATATCAAAAGCACTGCATTCGTGGCCCTTTTTGGATGAACATATATAAAAAAAGGAAATATTAAATGCGTTGAAACGTAATTTGTAGGTAAGGTATCGCAAACACAGAAAGTTTACTTTTTTAATGTGCGGATTAATGGCGTTACATGCAAGTCTGCACTTGATGAAATGTAGAAACTAGTGGGGATCTTTATATTGAAAATTTCGCGAATTTTTGACTTTAATTGGCTGAAAAAAAACTGCCTCGGTAGTTGTGAGATGGGGTACTGAGTAGAACTCAAAATAAGCTAGTAAATGATTTTCATAGGAAAAAAGCTTTTTACTGTAGTATAAACTGTATGAACCGTGTTAGGAGTAGGAAATAAGATTTTGGCATCTTTACTAATACGAAAACGTGGAGAGAAAAGCACAAGTCAATTCAAGAAATGGACTTAACAATAATTTAGAGGTAATCTGTGAGCGACTTCTAAAAGAAAACGAAGTGCAAGCACAATGTGACGAATTTAAATTATTTATTAGCAAGCGATTTTATGCCTGGACAAATAAAAAAAATCAAGAAAAATAAACTCAATGCAACTTCTAGCGCAACATGCAGTCCAGTTTGTTTATCAATTAGCAATATGTATTACCTGCATATTGGTGCTACTAAATAAATAGGTAATTGCAAACGTGGAAAGGAACAGTCCCACGTAATGCTAAATTTCCGCACGAGGATGATTTGGCATATGATACAGGGATATTTTGATCATTTCCGTTGGAATGGAATGGAGTATATCAGTGTTTTCATCTGGCAGCTTACATCAGTGAAATGAGTTGTAACATTTGAGATTTGTCAACCGAAAATTACGGTTTTTCACGACAAATGGCAATCACCCCAGGTAGAAAGAACACTAATATTGGAGTCGCGGAGAAACCTTTTCTACAAGTAGAGAGCACAACCATAGGTTAAATGCTCCCTTTTCGGGTA